TCTCGCAGGGCAAAGACGCCCCGGACCGGAACAGACGGGCATGCCTTTTATTCCCCGATGCGTGCACAAGCTGCGCACAAGCTGACTACGCATGGATCATGCGTTGACCTTTAAAATGACTGGTTGCCCACTATTGCCTTTTGAAATAATTGGCGGGTTGGTTGCCCTCTATTGCCTGATGGGCCAGTCGCCCGTGCTTCAATGACCTCATCCCATAATTCCCCATACAGCTGCGTAGCAAGCAAGCAATGACCAGAAGCAAAAGTTTGCAGTTAGCTCATTGTCCCACCCAAGTAAATTCCTGACAATTGGAAAAACTCCTCTGCCCTTCCTCTGTCCTACAAATTCCTCTGCCCTACAATTACAGGCCTGAGCCACCACATCCAGCCACCAAATGTTTCCTTGATCATTGCAACAGCAATGACATGGCAAATCTGGCATTAGCTATCAAAGCTTTCATCAGAAGCAACAGACATCACTTCCTCTCACATTTCATTGGCTAAAACAAGTCACATGAGCATGCCTACCTGCAGACAGAATGGGGAAGGCAACCCTACCACGCACTCAGGAGGAGGAGAACTAGATATTTGTGAAGTCCTAATGTCTACCCACAGAATTGATTTCATGACAGCTAATGAATTGTGGTTGTGAACCATTGTTCAGAAAACACTGATTTAAAGGTTTCTTATGTTAACCTGCAATCTGGCTCACTACAACTTCCTTCTGCTGGCCCCAACTCAAAACACATCTGCTCTCCCTGCCTATTTGGAGACATTTCTCTTCCCTAAGTTTGCTCTTCTCCTGGTGCAATACTCCCAATTCCCTCAGTTCTTCTCACTAGAATGGGACTTGCAGCTTCCTCTTCATCCTGGTCACCCTCTTCAAGGTACAACTGACTTTGCCAATGTAGCTCCTAAGGGTCACCTCCAAATATAGTCTGAGCAGCTTGCAGTTCAACAGTGCCCATTTACTCGGAGAGATAAGGGCTGAGTAAGCTTAAGGATAGGACTGACCTTTAGAAGCATTTTCTGTAGGGCCAGTTATTTAATTTCCTCATTCAGTAAATGACATTGATAATCATATCCCCAGTGGGAGGATTTCTCAGTGGGAAATCTGATCAGATCATTTTCTGGCTTAAAACTCCTGCAATGGCTTCAATTGTTCCTTGGAATAATATCCATTCCTTCAAGTGGCCTGCAAGGCCCTATGTAGTTGCTTCTGCCTGCTTCCCCAGCCTTGTATTTCACAACCATTCCCTTCTCTCTATGTGGCATGGTATCCACTATCAGTCTTTTATAGAAAGCTATGAAATAACCACGCTTGACTAGCTTTAAAAAAAAAAAAAAAGAAAAAGAAAGCTATGAAATAAAAAAAAAGAAAAGAAAAAAGAAAAAATGTGGCATGGAATTGGACCTCTTTCAGGTCCCAGAACGTACTTTCCTGCCTTAGGAGCTTCACATTGACCCAACCTGAAACCTAGAGGTTTCAACACCCTCCCCTGCCTCACTAACTCCACTTCAATATCAGGTCTGCTTAAACATCTTTCTCCAGGCTAGGTTAGGTCCCCTAGGTATATGCACTCTACACTTCTCTCAGTACTTACCTCACTCCTAATTTACTTGTAATTAATTGTAACTACTTGTAACTTGTCACACTTATCCATCTTGCCCACTAGATTGTATGATCCATAAGAACAAAGACCTTGTCTATTCTGTACACTATCTCTAACATCTAGGATTAGGCCTAGCACATAAGGATTACTCAAATATGTATTAACTACTAAATATGCACCATGTGTGTTGGTGCCTGGGGATTAGGGATACAAAAATCAATACCAGCTTCCAGCCATGAATAATTCCTAGTCTGAGGATGAGGTAAAGGAGAAAAAGCAACCATGGGAAGTGTTACATTCCTAGCATATACAGAGGGTCAGGGAGCACGGAAGAGGAACCACCCAGTCTGCTTTAGAGGGATTAGGGAAAGCTTTTGGAGGGGGTAGAAATTTGGGATAGCAAAAAAGGGAAAGAGGGCATTTAGACAGAGAAGACAATGTGTCATGACACAGAGGCATGGGGGCAGGTACTGTATAGAGGAGGAATGCAGATAGGAAGAACAGATTCACAGGGGAGAGAGTGGTGATCTGAGTTGGCCACGGGGGCTCTGTTTGTGTCCCCCTTGCCTTCCACTAATGGCCCTCAAATCCTGAGACCTTCTAATCCAAAGGTTCTTAACTTGGGGTTTTCAGATGGGCTTTAGGGAGTGCCCAAACCCCAGAAATTATATGTAAAATGCTGTGGTCTTATTTTTTTCCTGAGGGTGAAAGCTTTTATCAGTCTCTCAGATTTGTGACCCCAAAACGGTGAAAACTACAGATCCAAGCAAGCTATCACTCTCTCATGACCCATGGTTGCCTCAACATCTGATCCTCTGCTACAGATGAGCTGTTGTATGTCACAAGGAAAGAGGAACTCATAAACAAGACTGAGGCAACATTGCTAAACTTCCAGGTCTTTTGACATGACCCCTCCCACAGCCCGTATCAAGCCATATTTGGTACTCTATGGGCTTGGTTCTCTACCCCCCATAGTTTTTGCTAAATTTAATTGCTTTTAATACATCATAAGCACCAAATATGAAAGCCAGAACCTTGACAATAATCTGGCTGTATGTTCCCTCCAGTCCCTATCCTCCACCTGTGGGAACCATTATCCTGAATCCCATAGTGATAACCATTCTTTTCTTTTTAAATAGTTTCACTGCATACGTGTTCTTTTTAAATGATTTTTTTGCAGGTTTAATCATGGCTTATTTAACAAGGTTATTTTTACAGAGTTATTATATTTTATATGTGTGTTATTATATTATATATGTGTGTGTATGATATGAAGAGACTGATGTACAATCAGTAAGTCTTAAATCTCTCTTCCATGAATTTCCCCTATCTTTTTGCTTAGCAGTAAAAGGCATTTTTAGCTTTACATAAACACATTCTTTACAACTGTCTTCTTAACAGAAAATTAGTGTAGTATAAAAATAGCACTGGCTCTGGGAGGCCGAGGAGGGCAGATTGCTTGAGGTCAGGGAGTTTGAAACCAGCCTGAGAAAGAGTGAGACCCCGTCTCTACTATAAATAGAAAGAAATTAATTGGCCAACTAATACATATAGAAAAAATTATCCGGGCATGGTGGCACATGCCTGTAGTCCCAGCTACTTGGGAGGCTGAGGCAGCAGGATTGCTTGAGCCCATGAATTTGAGGTTGCTATGAGCTAGGCTGACACCATACCACTCACTCTAGCCTGGGCAATAAAGCGAGACTCTGTCTCAAATAAATAAATAAATAAATAAAAATAGCACTGGGCATTTATTAAATAAGTCACTGACCATTAAGTTCAATTGTGCAGGTGTGAAATCTAACGTCAAAGAGTTTTTGAAACCTTAAAACTAGGTGATCTGCAATGTTTCCAACATGTCTTTGACTACCTTAAGACAGTATTTGGATTCTTTCTGTGACCTGCAAACTGATAAGCTCTGTTTGACTGGCTGCCCAACCAGCATATTTCATGTTGTCCTTTTTCAAGTTTGCACTTGCTTTTGAATTAGAAGCAATGTGACTTGCCAACATGTAAAGCCCAAACAAAGCTCTCATATTTCTGTTGTTCAGTTTCAATGCTTGTAAAAAGTACTTTCTTGCAAGTTCAAGGTTTTCAAGTCCACCTTGGGTATATTTAACTTCAGCATACAGTTGACAGAATAAGTGGTTGTGTGGATTAGTCATCACAAGCTCCTCTAAACAAAAGGCTGCGTTTGCAGTCATGTTCATTGATAAAAAGTTCTGCAAATTCATGCCAGGCTTCTTGGTCTCCAACAAATTGTTCCACATACTCATTCAGTTCTTGAATGGCCTCTATATTTTTCCCCTGGGCTTTTCAAATGGCAATCTTATGCTTTCTTGCAGCAATGTTAGTTGGATCTTCTTGTAAAATTCTATCATATAGCTGTACAGCATCATTGTATCTTGCCATGGCTTGAAATCTTGTTAAATAATAAATAATAATTTATTATTGTTATTATTTATTTTATTTATCATTTATTATTATTGTTATCTTGTTAAATAATAAATGCTTGTTAATCACTTTACTCTGTGACAGCCAGGGAATTGTCTTCTTAATTCTTAAAGACAAAACAATGCCAAGTCATCCGGACCATAGTTAGGGCTGCAATCATCACCTGTTCATATATGATCCAAATATCATCTCCAAGCTTAGAAGCATATTCATTAACTACTTCTTCTCCAATTTCCACAATTTGCTCACTATTTCATGAGTTTTCTCTCCATTTTCTCATTTTATCTCGCATTTCTTCCCAAGTGACATCGTAAAGCTCTGAAACCTTCACCATCTTCCTAAATGTTTTTAAATTCTTAGTTGTATTTGACTTTATATCACTAGCACCAAAGAAATGCAAATTAAAACCACAATGAAACTAAGACACACATGCTAGAATAAACTTTAAAATTGACAATTGACAATACCAAGTGTTAGCAAGGATGTGAAGAAACTGGAAGTCTCAAATACATTGCTGATGGGAATGGAAAATGGTAAAGCGTCTTTGGAAAACAATATGGGAGTACCTTATAAAGTTAAACATACATTTACCATATGACCTAGCAACCACCCCTAAAGATTTACTCAAAAGAAGAATACACAAAATCACATACAAAAATGTTGTTGGCAGCATTACTGATAATAGCCAAAAACTGGAAGCAACTTAAATGTCCATCAGCTGGTGAGTGGATAAACAAATTATAGTATATCTACCATGGAATATAATTCAGCAATAAAAAGGAACAAACATTAATATAACAGAATGAATCTCAAAAATATTATATTAAGTGAAAGAAGTCAAATATAAGACTACATACTGTATGATTCCATTTATATGTGCAAAATTTCCCAAGATCAGATATTTGAAAAGATTCACCGAACTTCACACAGCATAGTCAACTAAGATTTTTATTTAAAGACAAAGGACACAGGGCAGCAAGAGAAAGACTGGGCAGGTAAACAACAGGAATCTGAAAAACATCCCAAGTATAAGCTCCCCACCGTCCTTATTCACACATGGACTGCACTGCCTGAAGTCTTTGGATTGAATCACCATGATCTGTGTGAGGAATCCTGGCTTTGAAAGAGCTCGAATCAGAAGTTCCCAGCAGGGTTTTTACATTACTCTGACTATGTAATCAAGCCAGACACTAGTTAGACCAGTTGCAAACCCTCAGTAGAGTGAGTGACCCTAGGGGTCACCAGAGGAGCTTCAGACTTTAAACAGCAATTATAAATCCCAATACCCTTATCTTGACCAAGAGTAAAAACCAGACATCTGGGTGTCCTCAGCAATAAAGACAGAGCTTTTGCAATCCAGCTGTGAACCAACTCTATCTTCTACAATATGAAAGTCTAAAATAGGCAAAACTGTAGTGACAGAAAACAGATCAGTGGTTATCTGGGACCAGGGATGGGGCAAGGAGGGTGAGTGCAAAGGAGCACAAGGGAACTTTTCAGGAGATAGAATTATTTACCACATCTTAATGGTGATGGTGGCTATACTATTATATATAATTATCAAATTCATTAAACAGTACATTTAAAATTGATGAATTATATATAAATAATAACTTTAAAAAAACTTTATTTCAAAAAGGACACCATGCTACACTTTGGGAATTAAATTTTTTTCACTCAATATTTTATTGCTAAGATTCATCCATACTGTTAGGTATTATTATAGTTCATTTGTTCTGTCAATTGTATAATATTCCATTGTGTGAACATTCCAGTTTGTTCGCTCACTCTCTTGCTCATAGGCGTTTGGGTTGTTTCTAGGCTTTTGCTTTTGTGAATAGGGCTGCTATAAACATTCTTGTACATGTCTCCTGGTGTACATGTATGAGTTTCTCTAAGATTTATCCCCAGTACTGGAATAACTGAGTAATAGGATAGCTGAATGTTCAATTACAGGAGATAAATTATGTTTCAAAATAGTTCTCCGCTTTTCTTACCTGGGTCTGTCTGTCCCCAGTTAAGACTATGACTCTGGGGACAAGAGGCCCTCTCCTCTTGAATTACCACTGCTCAGCATTCAATTAGCACCAGGCTGGATATCCAGGAGCACAAGGGTAGAAACCTAGGCACCTGGGGCCTCCTAGCCTCAGCAAATACTAACTACTGTGCAGAGTAAACAGCATGCAGGGACTATATGCCACAAATGGAGGTTGGTTAGGGTCCTACTCAGAGCACCAGCCAAGCTCCCAGGAGCTCCATCTTCCTCGGTTCACTTGATTTTGAGTCTGGAAGGTATTCCAAGGCCTTGAATTACCATGCAAATCCCAAGAGAAGGCTTAATCTCAGCTAAAGTCCTTCTCAATCAACACCTCTAATACCCAAATAAGGATTAGCAGGAAAGGCACAAAGGACAAAAGTAGTAGCAGGAAGAGGAAAACAGGGAATAATGAAAATGAGAAAAGCCAAGAAGCCTTCAGGTATTCTAAAGTTACACACCCTTTTCTGCACAAGGACCAGTTTCTCAGGAAAAAAAATTCTTTTTAATTAAAAAACTCTGCAAATGACCATGAACAATTTTTAATATTCCTGCCACTACAGGTTACCTTCTTTTGGCTAAATTTACAAAAACAATATAATTAGTATACAATCAGTAAACGATGCAATGCTGCCCCTGAACACAAACTGTGTGCAGTGAAGCCCTTTGATGCCAAGGGAAGAGCTCTGAGAGATTGGGGGTGGGCCAAAGAACAGGTACCAGAGCTCAGCCACAGACTAGAAACAAGAATAAAAATCTGGAATATAACAAAACATCAGGAGATTCCTAAGTGTTCAGAAAGCAAAAGGAGTAGAGTTGCCATTCCAAAGGTGAGGAAGCCTGATTATCTCCCACAATCCCAACTGCTACACCTCCAAGAGCTCCTTGTCACACAAGAGGTCAGGGAATACTTGCTAGACAGATGAACAAAGGATGAAACACACAAAAGAGTATGACAGCTCTGTAGCAGAAGCAGCTTCCCCAGCCATGCTTAAGCAGAAGTGCTGTTGACAGCAGGAAGAGTAACTGGAATTATTTAGCTCAGGAGAGCTTTCTCAATGTAAGTAAGCAGATTATTTTGCATTGGCTTAACATTTTTAGTTACTTTTCCTTAAATTAGATCATGGGCCATATGAAGAAACTAGGTAGGTTTGTTTGGGCCTGTTGGCTGCTCGAGATTGTGCAGGTGAAGCTCACTTCAACTGTAACCAGCTAGTACAAATAGAACTAATGGCATTTGGACTGACATGAAGCCCCCAACTATAGCCCCAAATCTATGGAGCTTCAACAATTTTATTGGCTAAATGCTTCTTCTCAAGTTTACAACTTAAAGTGTGAGCCTGCTCACTGGCTCCTTCATCTAAGCCCGTAAGCAAACTTTAGCACAGGTTGGAGATTGTGGAGGAAGAGTGGTAATCAGTGAATTAGAAACCTGCTGATGCTCCACAATTGGACAGCAGGATAGTAAAATTCCTACTTCCTACTGTTGAAAGCTGTCAGTAGAAAAACTCGAACAGGATGGAGACAGGTTCCAGAGTACATCTCTGCCATTGGTTCCAGTTTCCAGTGTCTCCAACACAGTATATACCCTTTGTCTTCCTACTTCAGGGAAAAGGTGATGCTACGTCAGTCTACGCATTTTGCAGAAGTACATAGGCCCAAAATTGGCCATGAGGTTCGGTATTACCAGCTCCCCAACCTGGCAGGATGGGAAGAAACAGAATGTGTCCATGAAAAGCCTTCGGAAGTGAGCCAGGTCTTCCACCTGAACCTCGATGCTGTATTGATTGGCCAGGAGCTCAATGGTGCCTTGCACCACATACTCGTTCTGTAACTGTGAGAGTGAGCAGGTAGAATAGACAACGTGGCCTCCTGGTTTGGTGGCAAGGAGTCCAGCCCTGAAACCAGAAAGAGAAGCAGTGACTAGTAAGCTTCCCAGTAGTGAAAGAGCAACATAAGGAGCTGAAAAGACAGAGGAAGTCTACTACAGGGTAGGTGGCTAGGCTACACAGGCTCTAAAGTCCCTGTCACAGCAACACTGTCTGAAAAGTTATTCTCAAGACAGAGCGCAACTCAACCTTACTCCATGAGCTCTCCACTAGGAAGTCTTCTTAAAATGATGACCTGATAGGCCAGGTGCGGTAGCTCACGCCTGTAATCCTAGCACTCTGGAAGGCCGAGGCAAGATCGCTCAAGGTCAGGAGTTCGAAACCAGCCCAAGCAAGAGCGAGACCCCGTTTCTGCTAAAATAGAAAGAAATCAATTGGCCAACTAAAAGCATATATAGAAAAAATTAGCCAGGCATGGTGGTACATGCCTGTAGTCCCAGCTACTCAGGAGGCTGAGGCAGAAGGATTGCTTAAGCCCAGGAGTGTGAGGTTGCTGTGAACTAGGCTGATGCATGGCACTCCAGCCTGGGCAACAGAGTGAGACTCTGTCTCAAAAAAAAAAATGATGTCCTAAGCTCTGACTCTGATTATTGACCAAACTGTTACGCTGGCTATGGATTGAGTCCTCAAGCCAACCCTACCGAGCCTTGGGCTCAGGAGCTATTTTTCAAACATGTGCTACTCACTAAAATAGCATGAGTGAATCTGTGCCACCCACCCTGGTATATATGTCTTATCAGATAGGGTTTTTATGTTTCAGGGAAGATCTCATGATTTCTGCTTCCTCTAGGCAGATCCCCAGCCAGAAGACCCCTCTATGGGTAACAGTCTTGGCAAAAGCCTCCAATTCCCCAGTTTCCCAGGTGACCAGACAACTAGGGTACTCTGGCACAAATTCGTAAGTTTTCATCAATCTATTACTCACGCAAGAAGCTGCACCTGCAGCATTGGCAACATCTGTCGCTCCTTCTTCCTCGACCGCTGAAAGATGTTGTTCTCTTCTTCATGAAGGGAGTGGCGGTCTACGGTGCAAGGTACATCCACCAGCACCTGCCCAGAATGTTAAAGGGTAAAGTAGTAAAGCTCCTTACAGGCTCCTCCTCCTTAGGCCAGAGCTGTTTTAGGCCCTTGGCCTGGGAATTTTATGGAGTACTCCCCATCCCCATCCCTCTATTTCAGAGTACCTGACAAAGCTTTTCATTTTAACCTGGTAGACAATCATGAAACGATTAGTGGGAAAATAGTGTATTTAGGAATATTCATGGCTGGTCAAAAAACTAAAACCAACACACAAACAACTATCATTAAATAATCAATATTGGCCTGGGTGTGGTGGCTCACACCTGTAATCCTAGCACTCTGGGAGGCCGAGGCGGGCGGATTGCTCAAGGTCAGGAGTTCGAAACCAGCCTGAGCAAGGAGGAGACCACGTCTCTACTAAAATAGAAAGAAATTAATTGGCCAACTAATATATATAGAAAAAATTAGCCGGGGATAGTGGTGCATGCCTATAGTCCCAGCTACTCTGAAGGCTGAGGCAGTAGGATTGCTTGAGCCCAGGAGTTCGAGGTTGCTGTGAGCTAGGCTGACGCCATGGCACTCACTCTAGCCTGGGCAACAAAGCGAGACTCTGTCTCAAAAAAAATAATAATAATAATCAATTATTACCCTAGAAAGATGTCTTAGTGCTTCAGAGCTCTGTCCTTAAGCCTATGAGAACAGAAAACAGGGCATTGTGCTTATTTGAGGAGGATAATTGGAATGAAAATCTATAGCAAAGCCAAATCCTCAAAGGGTTACACACTCAATTAGAGTTAACTAGGAAAAAAAATCTAGCCACAAAAGAAGATGACAAAAGAATGTGTCTGTTTTGGTTTTAACTCTGGGCAAAATAAAGAAAACAAGAAAAGTTTCCTTAAGAGAATTTTTTGTTGTTGTTTTTGTTTTGTTTTTTGAGACAGAGCCTCATTCTGTTGCCCTGGGTAGAGTGCAGTGGCATCTTCATATCTCCAAGCAACCTCAAACTCCTGGGCTCAAGCGATCCTTCTGCCTCAGCCTCCCGAGTAGCTGGGACTACAGACGCACGCCACAACACATGGCTAATTTTTCTATTTTTAGTAGAGATGGGGGTCTCCCTCTTGCTGAGGCTGGTCTCAAACTCCTGAACTCAAGTGATCCTCCCACCTCAGCCTCCCAGAATGCTAGGATTACAGGCAAAAGCCACCACACCCTACCCAAAATGCTGGGATTATAGGTGTGAGCCAACATGCCTGGCCCCAAGAGAAATCTGAAGTAAAACAAAGTTGGAGGATTTACTACAACAGACAGTAAGCCTTATTACAAAGCTACAGCAACAATCCTAGCACTCTGGGAGGCCGAAGGTGGGTGGAACGTTTGACAAGCTCAGGAGTTTGAGACCCATGAGCAAGAGCGAGACCCCATCTCTACTAAAAATAGAAAGAAATTAATTGGACAGCTAAAAATATATAGAAAAAATTAGCCGGGCATGGGGGTGCATGCCTGTAGTCCCAGCTACTTGGGAGGCTGAGGCAGAAGGATTGCTTGAGCCCAGGAATTTGAGGTTGCTGAGAGCTAGGCTGATGCCATGGCACTCTAGCCTGGGCAAGAGTGAGACTCTGTCTCAAAAAAAAAAAAAGCTACAGCAACAAAGACAGTATAGTTTCTTGACAAGAAAGACAAATAGGCCGGGCGCGGTGGCTCACGCCTATAATCCTAGCTCTCTGGGAGGCCGAGGCGGGCGGATTGCTCGAGGTCAGGAGTTCGAAACCAGCCTGAGCAAGAGCGAGACCCCGTCTCTACTATAAAATAAAAAGAAATTAATTGGCCAACTAATATATATACAAAAAATTAGCCGGGCATGGTGGCGAATGCCTGTAGTCCCAGCTACTCGGGAGGCTGAGGCAGGAGGATTGCTTGAGCCAGGAGTTTGAGGTTGCTATGAGCTAGGCTGACGCCATGGCACTCACTCTAGCCTGGGCAACAAAGCGAGACTCTGTCTCAAAAAAAAAAAAAAGACAAATAGGCCAATAGAACACAGTCCAGAAATAGACCCATACATACAGTATTTGATTTATGACAAAGGAGACATTGCAGACAATGGGAAATGAATAATCTTCAATAATTGGTACAGGGTCAACTAGATATCATTTTTTGTATCCTTATTTCTTTTACTATACATAAACATCAATTTCAAATGGATTGAAGATCTAAATGGGAAAGGTAAAATAAAAATGTTTGTAAAGGATAACATAGAATAATATCTTCATTGTTTTAGGATAAACAAAGGTATCTCAAGCCCCCAAAGCACTAACAGTGATAAATTGGACTACATTAAAATTAAGAAATTATGTTTTGTACTTGCAATATGTATTTGCAATAAATATATTCATAAAGGACTCATTTCCAGAATACCTAAAGAACTTTTCACATACCAATAAGAAAAAACCAGATAACCAAATAGAAAAACAATGGGCAAAAGACTTGAATTCTAGCCTGGGCGCAATGGCTCACACCTGTAATCCTAGCACTCTGGGAGGCCGAGGCGGGCGGATTGCTCAAGGTCAGGAATTCCAAACCAGCCTAAGTAAGAGCAAGACCCCGTCTCTACTATAAATAGAAAGAAATTAATTGGCCAACTAATATATATAGAAAAAATTATCCGGGCATGGTGGCGCATGCCTGTAGTCCCAGCTACTTGGGAGGCTGAGGCAGAAGGATTGCTTGAGCCTGGGAGTTTGAGGTTGCTGTGAGTTAGGCTGATGCCACGGCACTTACACTAGCCTGGGCAACAAAGTGAGACTCTGTTCCAAAAAAAAAAAGACTTGAATTCTTACTACAAAATGAATCGTCAATAAACACATGAAAAGGCATCCAAACTCATTAACCACCAGTGAAATGAACCAGTGAAATGAACATTAAAACCACAAAGTAGGCCGGGCACAGTGGCTCATGCCTATAATCCTAGCACTCTGGGAGGCCGAGGCAGGCGGATTGCTCGAGATCACCCATCTCTACTAAAAATAGAAAGAACTTAATTGGACGACTAAAAATATAGAAAAAAATTAGCCAGGCATGGTGGTACATGCCTGTAGTTCCAGCTACTCGGGAGGCTGAGGCAGGAGGATTGCTTGAGCCCATGAGTTTGAGGTTGCTGTGAGCTAGGCTGACACCACAGCACTCAACCCCTGGCAACAGAGTGAGGCTCTGTCTCCAAAAATAAAAAAAATAAAAATCGGCCGGGCGCGGTGGCTCAAGCCTGTAATCCTAGCTCTCTGGAGCCGAGGCGGGCAGATTGCTCAAGTCAGGAGTTCAAAACCAGCCTGAGCGAGACCCGTCTCTACATAAATAGAAAGAAATTAATTGGCCCAATATATATATATAAAAAAATCAGCCGGGCATGGTGGCTCATGCCTGTAGTCCCAGCTCTCGGGAGGCTGAGCAGGGATCGCTTGAGCCCAGGAGTTTGAGGTTGCTGTGAGCTAGGCTGACACCACGGCACTCACTCTAGCCTAGGCAAGAAAGCGAGACTCTGTCTCAAAAAAAAAAAAACAACATAAAACTAAAAAGGACTGAACCCTAGGATACATTATTAAATTTAAAAAAACCACAAAGGTCAGAATAGTGAGTATAATACACTACCACTCCTATTCTTTTTTAAAAAATACATATTTATATATGCAAATTGATATATTTTAAAAGATACAGAAAAAATAGAAGCAAGGGTTATTAGTAGGGTGGGGAAGTAGATGGCTATAGAACACAAGTAAGAAGGAAACTCAATTTTCACTGGATGCTCTTTTGTGCTTTCTGAATTTTGTACCATGTGCATATGGTACCATATATTCAAAAATAAATAAATGAGCTTGTTCATATTTAATTCTTGAGGGATTCTGAGCAACCAAGTGACTTGAGAAATAAAAAAGCCTAATAACCTTTTTTTCCCCACTCAGGTTCAAATTCTTTTTTTGTAGCCAACTACCTTTTAATATAGTAAACTGGTCATCTAAGCTGAACTGATAATTCTGTAAAGTGGCTTTTTTCCCCCAAAGTATCCAAGGAGAGCTCACCAGGTCCAGAAACAGCCTTGCATGCTCAAACACAGGGACTGGATCCTACCCTTCCAGGGCTTGGGACCAGGATGGGGAGGCCATAGTTAACTGGATGGATGTCCTAAGTCAAGAATCACTCACCCGGTCATAGGTGTCCCCCTCCAGTTCTCCCCACTTCCTGCCATCCCATGAGGTGACTCGAACTTGATTCCTATCCCTAATTTCTTGAGGCACATAGCTATGAAGGACCTTCTGTAGTCTGCCTGTTCGGGAAGTGGAGAGATCATTGGCAGCGAGATTGCCTGTGGAAATAAAGACACCTCAGAGGCCATGGCCCGACGAAACATCCCACCTGCAATAGCACTGACGGAAGAGTCAGACCAATTCTCAGGCAATCCCAATTAACACAGACCCCAGCAACAGGGACATTTATTATGTGCGTGGCTCAACGTCAGTCACTCTGGAGTGCACTTACAAAGGCAAACAACTATATGATCCGGAAAGGTTAAGTAAATAAAGCAAACCAGGTAAGAATATTTATGTCTAAAGAAATATGCTCTCTCCCACTATTCTTAAAACATATGGCTCTCTTCTTCTTTGGTAGATACTAGAGGTTATTGGCCCAAAATATATTCTCCTCTTATGCCTTAGTAATAGAACCCCTATTTGTGCAATGTGCCTTTCCCAGCCTTTCTTTAACAAGTATGACTGTATGACTAAGTTTTGGTCAAATAGTTTTAGGCAGAGTATCATGTGGGAATTCTGGAAAAATGCTTTTAAAAGCTGACACAGGCCAGATGCAGTGGGTTATGTCTGTAATTCCAGCACTTTGGGAAGCCAAGGTAGGAGGATCACTTGAGCCCAGGAATTCAAAACCAGCCTGGGAAACATAGTGAGACCCCATCTCTTTAAAAAAAAAAAAAAAAATTAGCTGGTTGTAGCAGTGCATGCCTGTAGTCCCAACTACTCAGGAGGCTGAGGTGAGAGAATCACTTGAACCTACGAGTTCAAGGTAGTTGTGTTGCAGTGAACTATGATCATATCACTCCAGCCTGGGCAATAGAGCAAGATTGTCTCCTAAAAAAAAAAAAAAAAAAAAAAGCTGCATAACTAGGAGATGAGATGAACCTCTTTTGCCCAATCCTTTTCTCCTGTTTTGAATTTGAATGTGATGACTGGCGGTCCAGCAGCCATCTTGAACCATGAGGCAATCCTGAGGATGACAATAGCAATAAAATAGGTTGCAAAAAGGAAAAGGGAGCTTTAAGTCCCTGATGATTATGAAGCTTTCATACCAGCCTTGTACAGCATATATCCCAGCTTCTCTTATGTAAGAGAGAAATAAATGTTTCTTCTTTAAGGCAATTAGTTGGGTTTTCTATTGTATACAACCAAACCTAATTCTGATTTACCATCTACCTTTTCATTTTCTCTTTTTTGATAGACATTAGTTCAAGAAATATCTCACTTTGCTCTTAGCTCTAAGGAAAATATTAATGCAAGCTTGATGATAAATCACAGTTGATATCTGGCCTCAACGTCATGATACGACAAGGAAGAGTCAGAACTGTGGAGAAGAACTGAAGGGTATATATCTTACCTAACAGATGTGGTCACTACTGTGAACCAGCTTAGTGTTCCTACAATTTTTGAGGGCACTCAAAGAAGTAATGATTAGATTCCCTGCTCTAGAGGAATTTGCAGGAGGATATAAACTGAGACAAGTAAAGATGGGGGGGCTGTAGGCTTGCGGACTGGTAGGATGGCCAATGAGGAGGAAGATGCCACCTATGAGGAAGAAAATGAAGAAACTGGAGGAGGTGCAGAAGGTGGACAGGGTAAAACAAAGAGACTTTTTTCTAAAGAATTGAGATGTATGATGTATGGCTTTGGAGATGACCAGAATCCTTATACCGAGTCAGTTGATATTCTTGAAGACCTTGTCATAGAGTTCATCACTGACATGACTCACAAGGCAATGTCAATTGGAAGACAAGGCCGAGTACAAGTTGAAGATATCATCTTCCTGATTAGAAAGGGCCCAAGGAAGTTTGCTAGGGTTAAGACTTACTTACTATGAATGAAGAATTGAAACGAGCCAGAAAAGCATTTGATGAAGGAAACTATGGATCTTGACACCTTTTGTAGTAACTGAAACTCCCATTATGTTCTAGGGAAAATGTATATAATAATTGTATATTTTCTATAGTAAGGTCTTGATACCTACCTATGTAAATGAAAGGTGGAGAAACACAGTTTTCTGCCTTTATTTTTATGCCTTAGATTTTAGAGTGATATTGGATTAATTGCCTGCCTTTATATGACCATACTTGAATTACTTATTTGGTTTTAATGACCACACATGAGTTAAAGTACCTTGCAAACCATGCAATTTCTTCTGACTTTGACTATCTAAAGGATGAAATAGTATTTATGTGTTAGGTGTATTTGTGTCCTTGTAAGCTATACTGTAGCTGTTTAATATGTGAAATTTAAATGGCATCTTTGACTCTATGATAGCTGAAATGTGCTTTATGTACACTGAAGTTTTTATACAAAAGTAGTCTGAGAGGTATTATAGTGAATGTTTTTGTGTTTCTTTTAAGGAGATGATACAGGAAAATAAAGGTTTTTTGTAAGAATGTCTATCTTAAAAGATAATTTGTTTTATTATTCTTTTTTTTCAGATAACAAGAATGATTTTATTTTTTTTGGAGAAACTGAAAGTTTCATGTGAATGGTTCTGTGTTGGAAGGCTTTTTTGATTTAAAACTTTTTGGGGCTTATAACATACTATTTGTTAAGTTTTGGGGTAACTCATTTTCCAGATCAAATTAAAGCTTCTAAAAATAAATGCTTTCAGTAGCAAGAATAGCATTGCTTAAAAATTGAATGGCATTCATGGCAAGATAAGCATTTAGGACAGTGTTTTATTAACATATTTGTAAGTACTTGTTCATTGTGGAAATGTGTACTTGATAAAAACCGTATGTGTCTGTGGAAACTACTTTTGTCTTTTTTTTTTTTTTATTTCACCAATTGCACAAGCAGAACTAGATAGAAACTACTTTTGCAGTGCAGGATATACAGGTTTTGTGTGTATGTAGCTTATTGTATTAAATTATTATTGCACTTAGCTTAAAATTAGGATTAAAATTGCATTTAAATAGATCAATGAATGTTACTCTTTGTGAAACTGAACTTTTTGTGTGCCACTTATAAACATTACCTATAAGTCAGTGCTTGGGAAAATTTTACCTCGCTTTCACCTATCTAATGACCAAGGAATAAAGATGAATCACAGAACAAAAATAAAAAAAAAGTGGTTCCAGTCCGGCTCTCAAGTCTTGCAAGATTTAAGTTATTTAATCTCTCCAGAGCTCAGTTTCCCCCTCCATAAAATATGAGAGCTAGACTAAGTAAACTCTCAGTTTCCTTCTTGCACTGAAATGCTGGAATCCTATCTTCCTGGGATCAAGGAGTTAGCTATTTGGGTGAGAAGCTGGGATGAAGGTGAGGTGCCGATAGTTTAGCATACTTTATAGAAGAACAACTCTCAATTAGTTCTCCTTTGCCCTTCTTCCTCCTCTTACCATGTTTCCCCAAAAATAAGACCTACCCATAAAATAGCCCTAGCAGGATTTCTAAGCATTCACACAATATAAGCCCTACCCTGAAAATAAGACCTAGTGATGGGTGTGACTATGCAATTATCTGCACAACCCATGCATTTCCTCCCAGAGCGTAAAGAGGACGAGCAGCCCTTCTCATCTGCCCCACCATGACAGCTACTATCCCAGAGGTGACCGGAAAGATGCGGGCAGCCCCACCAACAAGGTCGGCTCCCCGTCAGGTCCCAGCCATCCTGTGCGTGCTGCAAGCTGAGGCTTTGAGGGGAAAATAACACATCCCCTGAAAATAAGCCCTAAGGTGTCTTCTTGAGGAAAAATAAATATAAGATCCTGTCTTATTTTTGGGGAAACATGGTAGTTCAAAGTTCTTCCTATTCCAAGTAATCCTACCCTCATTTATCTCCCTTCTGATGGATTCCAACATCATTCAGTCAGATTAACACAGGCCAGCCTCTCGCATTGGACCCATTAAGCCTATGTCACCATCTTTTCTCCACTGCCTCTGGACATCCAGAAGACTAAAACCAAATGTGATACCTTTCTGAATCACCCATGGGCCTACCATGAGGCTGGAGGCTAACTCAAACCACTAAGAACTGAGGCCGGGCGAGGTGGCTCACGCCTATAATCCTAGCACTCTGGGAGGCCGAGGCGGGTGGATTGCTAGAGCTCAGGAGTTCGAAACCAGCCTGACAAGAGCGAAGACCCGTCTCTACTATAAATAGAAAGACATTAATTGGCCAACTAATAGACATAGAAAAAATTAGCTGGGCGTGGTGGCACATGCCTGTAGTCCCAGCTACTCGGGAGGCTGAGGCAGGAAGATTGCTTGAGCCCAGAAGTTTGAGGTTGCTGTGAGCTAGGATAATGCCATGGCACTCACTCTAGCCTGGGCAATGAAGCAAGACTCTGTCTCAAAAAAAAAAAAAAAAAAAAAACCACTAAGAACTGGAAAAGAAGGGTCTGAGCCTACAGAAAGGCTCAGGCACATGGTAAGAGAATCCTGGCTGAGCTCCACATGGATGTGCAAATCACAGCACTTTGTGGATATTTCTCAGGGCCTCAAGGAGTAATACTGTCTATTGTAAGGCAAGGTGTTGGGCAGTGGATGGCTGAAGTGACACAGTGCACAAGACCCAGGCTAGGGCACACTACTGAGATAAATAAGACCTGGGCCTATCCCCAAGGAATTCATAATCTTGAAGAGGGAGAAGATACACATACAGTAAAACTCTGAGGCAAGGCTATTGTGCTAATACTTGTAAGGGTAATGCTCATGGGGTGGGAGCATAGGGAGAGAGGTATCATTTCTGAACCGGCTAGCAGAAGTCATGAGGGAAGACTTCCAGGAGGTGGCACACTTGAGCTGATGCTTGAAAATCAAAAGGATTTAGACAGCCCAGCTGAGATGAAGTAGGGGAATTCTAGCAGAAAATTTAATAGGAGCAAAGGCTTATTTGGGCAACAGAGCAGTAGAGTGTGGCTGAAGCACATAAAACCTGGGGAAGAGTAACATATAAAGCATATAAATGGTGGCTGTAGCCAGATCTTATCATTTCAGCAGGCAGGCTAAAGAGATGGGACTTAATCTTAGAGACAAAGTAAACAGATGCCGAGGACTACAGGTGTGTGCCACTGTGCCTGGTAAATTTTTTAATTTTTTGTAGAGACAGACTCTCACTATGTTTCTCAGGCTGATCTCAAACTCCTGGGATCAAGCAGTCATCTCACCTCAACCTCCCGAAGTGCTAGGGTGATAGGTGTGAACCACTGTGCCTGGCCAGATCCCTGCTTTAATCTGCTTTCAGAGACCTTGCTCAGCAATCTTCCTTGATAAGCTGACAGAAAAAGGGAGGAAATAATTGCAAACAGAAAAAAGACACAAGCTTAGCAAGCAAGCCATTATTTCCTCCTCTGACCTAGGGACCAGAGAGCCTACCGTATTCAGTATGCCCCTGGCTAGGTGAGATGAGAAGCCCTCTCTGCCCAAGACACCAGCACCCTGACTTACGGCAACAGCCAGTCTGAAGCAATGCTAGTGTCTTTCCCCCGGGGGCTGCACATAGGTCAAGCACAATGTCCCCAGGCTGCAGGCCAAGGGCCAGGACAGGCAGCACGGAAGCAGCATCCATCAGGTAGTAGTCCATGACACCCAGACTGCCAAGTCTGAAAGAGAGGAGATCACATTATCAAATTCCAGGTTAGGACACCTACTGGGAGTCAAGGCCACCAAGTCCCTGTCCTCAGAGGCCACTGGGCTCCATTGAGCAAAAACTCATTTCTCAGACCCACACTCACTTTTTCACTCACTTATTCATCTACACAGAAGCAGAGTGATCCTTTTAAAACATAGATTACTTCAATGTAGCCATGCTAGCCACCGTGCTAACCTTAATTAAGCCATGCTCCTGTCTCAGGCTTTTTCAGTTGCTGTACCTTCTGCCTGCAACACTCTTCCCTCAAATATCCTTGATTTGCTTCCTCACTTCTTTCAGTTCTCTCCTCAAAAGTTCCCTCATCAGAGGCACTGGCATTGCCTGACTATCTAAAATAACAGCCCCCAATTCCCATCACCTTCTACCTTTCTACCCTGCATTATTTTTCTTTAAAGCACTTGGCTGGGCGCGGTGGCTCACGCCTATAATCCTAGCACTCTGGGAGGCCGAGGTGGGCGGATTGCTTGAGGTCAGGAGATTGAAACCAGCCTGAACAAGAGCAAGACCTCGTCTCTACTATAAATAAAAAGATATTAATTGGACAACTAAAAACATATATATAAAAATTAGCCGGGCATGGTGGTACATGCCTGTAGTCCCAGCTACTCGGGAGTCTGAGGCAGTAGGATTACTTGAGCTCAGGAGTTTGAGGTTGCTGTGAGCTAGGCTGATGCCATGGCACTCACTCTAGCCTGGGCAATAAAGTGAGACTCTGTCTCAAAAATAAATAAATAAAAAATAAAACACTTATTATTCACTTTAAACATATACCACTGTGTGTGTACGTGTCTCTGTGTTATGTATTTTCTCCCTTTCTATCTCCCTCTATTAGAATACTAGCTCTAGGCTGGGTGCAGTGGCTCATGCCTATAAAACTAGCACTATGGGAGGCTGAGATGGGAGGATCGCTTGAGGTCAGCAGTTCAAGACCAATCTGAGCAAGAGCAAGAGCTCATCTTTACCAAAAATAGAAAAATTAGTTGGGCATGCTGGTGGGCACCTGTAGTCCCAGTTACTCAGGAGGCTGAGGCAGGAGGATTGCTTGAGCCTAGGAGTTTGAGGCCGTAGTGAGCTGTGATGACACCACTGTACTCTACTCAGGATGACAGAGTGAGACTCTGTCTCAAAAAATAATAACAACAACAATAATAATATTACCTCCATGAGGGCAGGGATTTAGAGATTTTGTCTCCTTTTTTCATTATAATACCCCCAAAACCTGAAACAGTACCTGGCACATAAGAGGAACTCAGTTTTATTGGGTTACATATTAAGATACAAAGCGCTTAAAGGATTCTGAGAGAAGGGCCCCCAATTGTGTTTGTCAGAGTTACCTGAGTTAGGCCTGATGAAGAATAGGAGGTCTTCATTAGGTAATAAAGTAAGAGGAGCACTCCAAGGAGTAGAAAAAGAACGAGCAAAGGCATAGAAGTGCACAAACTCCTAAATTCTTTCAGAAACAGAGAGAAAGCTGGTGTGTGTAGAAATATAAGATGCATGAGATTGAGGTTGGAAAGCAGACTGATGCCAGATCGTAAAAGGTCTTAACCCTTTGTACTCGCTTGCTTTTTTCTCGATTCCTTTATTCTACTAGGGATTTAATTTTTTAAATACCCCAGATTTTACAAAGCGCGGCAATAGAATAATAAACTGGAGTTTCTTTTCAATGCAAACTTATTTATTTGGATTTTTTTATATTTCAAATTATTGATACATTCAAAGAGTAATTTTAATCTCTATAATTTTTGCTAACCGTGTGGAGTCACACTCGACATCCGAGCACGAAGGGTTAAAACCTATGCTAAGGAGCTTGGACTATAACCTATAAGCAGTTACCAAAAGTTTTTAAGGAAAACAACATGATCAGATAGATCTGAGTTTTAGAAAGTTAGGTGGGCTAGAAGGAACAAATTAGAGACACCAGAGTGGCAGTAATAGTATGGGCATAGGGAGTGGGATGATCAACAGCAGACTGTCATAGGAGGACTCCCTACTCCCAAGCCAGCTGTCATAAGGGCAATTAGTAGTGAGCAGCCATTCCCCTGCCTTAGATGCAGTTCAGTGTGGAAAGTTTTGGGACAAACTCAAGGAGACAGAAACCTTGACAGAAAAGGTCTGGGAGACAAGACATAAGACACAGCACCACTGAGGGTCAGCTATAAGAGCTACAATTCCCAGTCCTGAGACTTTAACATCTTCAGCATTCACATATACGTGCAGGCTGTGGTAGGATATTTTCAAAGTCAAACCATGCTTGGATTGTCTTTGAAACTATATGCCTCATGCCTCACAAAAGAGAGTGACAAAAAGACTGAGAAATCTGAGAAAGGCACAAACTGCTATCACACCAGCACTGGCCCATAAAACTCATCCTCATCAAGCTCCTTCCTTTTGTATCACTCTTTAACCTTTTTTTGGTTCACAGTTTTGAGAATCTGCTAAAAGCTATAGCTCCTCTTTCTGAAAAAGCATACTTTTTTTATTTTTTATTTTTATTTATATTTATTTATTTATATATATTTATATTTATTTTATTTATATTTTATTTATATTTATTTATTTATATTTTACTTTTTATTTTTATTTTTATTTTCTGAAAAATACGTACTTTCGCAGGCAATTTCAGGGGCTTCTTGTACTCCCTGAACACATCCTTGAACTCCTGAGAGGTTAAGATCCACCCCCCCTTTTTTTTTGAGACAGAGTCTCACTTTGTTGCCCAGGCTAGAGTGAGTGCCGTGGCATCAGCCTAGCTCACAGCAACCTCAAACTCCTGGGCTCAAGCGATTCTCCTGTCTCAGCCTCCCAAGTACCTGTGACTACAGGCATGCGCCACCATGCCCAGCTAATTTTATATATATATATATATATATATATATATATATATATATATATATTAGTTGGCCAATTAATTTCTTTCTATTTATAGTAGAGATGGGGTCTCGCTCTTGTTCAGGCTGGTTTCGAACTCCTGACCTTGAGCAATCCACCCACCTTGGCCTCCCAGAGTGCTAGGATTACAGGCATGAGCCACCATGCCCAGCTTAAGATCCCCTTGATTTCATTGGGAGCCCTCAGAATAAGGCAGCAAAAAACCCAAATATATAGGAGTTTTGGTGGAAGGACAAAAAAACCTCCAGAAATCTGTGCTGTGGCTGCTTCCCTCATTACTCTCAGAGTGTCCTCCCTGAGGAGGAGTTCCTTGAGTAGGTGCTAAGTACCTCAATCAATTTAGGCGACCACATGGTTCTTACTCCATGGTTCTGCCTATAGCCAATGCCTCTGAATTGGTCTCCAATCTGGCCCAATCTGTCACCCCCCTACACAGTGACTAAAATGATCTTCCTGAGCATAACTTTGATGAGAATACCATCAATACAGACAAGTACTATTGACGAGTGCTGTATTGCTAGGTGTTTAATATGCATAATTTCATTTCATCCTCACTATAACTCTATGAGGCAGGTAAACCTAAATTCTAGAGCCAGACTACATAGATCTCAAACCCAGCACAACTGCTCATTAGTTATGTGACTTTCAGCAAATTACTCAACTTCTCTGTGCCTCAGTTTCTTTCATCTGCAATAAGAGTACATACCAGATAAGAGTTACTGTTAGGATTGAAGGAATTAACATAAGTCCACTGCTTAACACATTGACTGGCACATAATGAGCTACAGAGTTAGCTATTACTGCTATTATTTTCCAGATTATTTTCCAGATAAGGAAATGAAGGCTCAGTTATCCAATGCCACATGTCAGTAAGTGGTAAGGGCAGGAGCAAAATCTAGGTTTGCCTAACTCCAAAGTCCATGCTTACAATCACTGTGCATTATTGCCTTTCAACTGCTCAGAAACTCTTTTCAGCAGTTCTCTGCAACAGATCTTGGCAATTCACAACAATATATACTAAAGGGGACATGACCCAAAGCCAACCAGCCTGGTAATCCCAGCCATCTGCAATCAATCCTGTGCCACCAGAAAAATCGCCTTACCCCAACTTGCAAATTCCTGGCAGTCAAGGTTCCCACATATGCTTTTACAGCCTCATCTCTCATTCTTCATGAGCATACAGCCTTCCCTCAAGACAGTAGCTAGGACTACTGCAAACGCCTCCTACTTTATATACCCATTTCTAGCCTTGACCTTCTCCAATCTGTTTTCCACAAAGTAGCCAGAGTCATATTTTTAAAATTCAAATCTGGTCATGTCATTCCCCAGCCTAAAACCTTTCATGGCTTACTATTCCTCTAAGAGGAAAATGCCCAAAATTCCACACAGCCTATAAGACTTTCATAATCTGTCTCCTACCTGCTTCTGAAGCCTCATATTTAGCCTCTCACCCTGATCCCCACCCCCATGCCACCAGCTTTAATTTCTACTCAGTTTTCAGGTTTTAGCTTAAATGTCACTTCCTCAGAGAAGGCTGGGTTAGATCTCCTAATTATAAGACCTCAGAGCATCTTATACTTTTCCTTTGTCGTACTTATCACAATTATAAATAATATTTTAATAGTTTTCTTTCTCACCAGACAAGAAGCTCCATGAGAACTTGTGCACCAAAGTACTTAAATGTCTATAATTTAGTAGACAATAAATATCTGTTGGCCAGGAGTTTGAGACCAACCCCAGGAAGAACAAGACATCATCTCTATAAAAAATAGAAAAATTAGCCAGGTATGGTGGCACATGCCTAAATTTCCAGCTACTTGGAAGGCTGAGGCAGGAGGATCGCATCAGAGCAAGACCCTGTCTCAAAAAAAAAAGAGTCTCACTCTGTTGCCTGAGCCAGAGTACAGTGGTGTCATCGTAGCTCACTACAACCTCAAACTCCTGGGCTCAAGTGATCTTCCCTCCTCAGCCTCCCGAGTAGCTGCAAATATAGTCGCACACCACCACAACTGGCTCCTTCTCACTTTGATGAGTGGCTATGAGGGCAAAATGAGAAAACTGCTATGAATAACACACATTTTAATACGAGAGAGTATACAGCGAGTGCTCGTGTAAGAAGTGGCTGTTTTCTACAGGAGACGGTAGAGCAGGGCAAGTTCAAAGTGCAGGTTCTGGGGTCAGACCACCTGGATCTAAATACTAGCTGCACCACTTAATATCTGAGGGATCTAAAGCAAGTGAGCACCTTAATATCTCTGCACCTCAGTTTCCCAAAATGTAAGAGAAGGAATAATATCACCTACTTCATAGGGCTGTTAACAGAACAAAAGGAGATAACATATGTACAGCACTTAGAAAAATGCCTAGCCTACAAGGATGCCACAAATATTAGCAATATTATGATACTTATTACAGAGGGCAGAACCTGGGTCTCTTCATGCCTACTTCCAGCAGGCACTCAGGATAGCCCGACATGGTTCCTGATCCTACCTGGCAGGAGGGAAGCGGTTGACATCCCCTCTGGCAAAAGTGAAGCAGCGTAGGTTGGGACTGCAGGCCCAGGATGCTGGGGATAGAGGTCCAGATTGGCCACTCTCAGGCTCCAGTTCCCAGTGGGAGATGGCTTCATTCACAAAGTCCCTGGCATTCAGCTGCTCAAGCTTAGCACTCACATGATCGCAAGCAGCAAAGTTATTGACCAGGGCACCATACTTCTGCTCTGAGAGGAGACTAACACGGATTGATGGCCAAAGATCCCCAAACTGCATACTGTAGGTCATGTCAAAATTCTGCAGAGCCAGTCGAACAGCAGGGAATTTGGGCTCTGTGGCAGCCTAAAATAGAAAGAATAAGCTTATTGGTTTTTCCTGTCTTGCCTCTATCCCCTACTACCTGACCCCACCTTGGAGCCCAGGGGCAAACGTGGATCCAGCTAATGCCCATTCCTGCTTTTGCATCCTGCCTCTGCCTGCCAGAGAAGAACTCTGGGAGGGAAAAGTAGTGGGGAGTGGCCTTCCCATCTCAGAGTTGTGAAAGAAAGGAAGCTGTAGCTCTCACAAAACCATGTGAAGATCATCAAGAAGGGGGGCCTTGGAGCAGGAAGAACTTAAATAGAAAGGGAGCTCAGGAGAAGACTTTTTTCCTTTTTAAAGATACAGGGTCTCGTTGCTCATGCTGGAGTGCAGTGGCTATTCACAGGTGTGATCCCACTACTGATCAGCACGGGAGTTTTGACCTGCTCTATTTCTGACCTGGGCCTATTCACCCCTCCTTAGGCAACCTGGTGGTCCCCTGCTCCCAGGAGGTCATCATATCGATGCCAAACGTAGTGCGGACACCCAATTGGCATAGCACACTACAGCCCAAAGCTCCTGGGCTCAAGCAATCCTCCCACCTCAGCCTCCTGAGTAGATGGGACTACAGGAGCACGCCACTTTCCGGCAGCAGAAGACTTGAGGAGAGCCTGCAGAAGGCTGGAAGAGACTATGAAAGCCATGAGGAAGCTTCAAGCTTAAAAACAGAAGATCCTGGCTGTGCATGGTGGCTCATCCCTATAATCCTAGCTCTCTGGGAGGCTGATGCGGGAAGATCACTTGAGGTCTGGAGTTCGAAACCAGCCTGAGCAAGAGCAAGACCCCGTCTCTACTAAAAATAGAAAGAAATTAATTGGCCAACTAAAAATATATAGAAAAAATTAGCCGGGCATGGTAGTGCATGCCTGTAATCCCAGCTACTCTTGAGGTTGCTGTGAGCTAGGCTGACGCCATGGCACTCTAACCCGGGCAAGAGAACGACTCTGTCTCACAAGAAAAAAAAAAAGAGATCCTTTTCCTCCGAACAGTCTTTTCACTTTGAAAAGGACTTTCATGTGTACTAGCTTATGTGAGTACAACAGACAGCTCAGTAGATTAAAAAAAAAAAATAACACCCTTCTACATTTGATGAAGAGATGTGGGCAACTTACCTAAGGCAGTGACTGGCACCATAATGTTCAGAATCATAAGGTTAAGGGTTGTTTTGGGAGTTCCCAGACCCCAGTAAGATGGAATAAGGAGAGCTCACACAATCTTGAGGTATGAACCAAAACAGGGACTTCTAGGATGACTGCTATGGGGGGTAGGAGAGAAGGACATGCACAAGTCAGGTTTAAAGGGCATAAGGGTAGAGTAAAAGGAAATGAAGGCTTCAGATGAGGAATCCACAAGTTAGTCCAGGTTGCTGCAGCTGGGATGCTTGCTATGGCTGACAGTCTTGTTACTTTGACTTTTGCTCTGGCCTGAATTTTTGGTCAGGTCATAACTTTTGCTCTGGCCCTCATTTCTTGTTATGGTGAGGACTCTTGCTCCGACGACTTCTGCCATGGCGGGGACTCGGGGGACTCTTACTCCGGCTCCTGCTATAATGGGGACTCTTGTTCTGGCCTTGTCCTCTGCCACTTTGGGGACTCTTGCTCCGTTTGCGACTTCTGCCATGATGGGGACTCTTGCTCTTGCCCCGACTTCTGCCAAGTTGGAGAATCTCACCCTGATTTGTGTCTTGGTGAACACTACTGCTCTGGCTCTGACTTCTGCTCAGATGACTACTCTGGCTTTGATGGGTAAGCTTGGTGTGGCTTTCACCACTATGGCATTCACGAACAATAGTCGAACTACAGCTGGGATCAGGACTACATCCGGAATCCTTGCATGAAGGCAAAGGGCAGCTGTAGGGAATCTGGAGGGACCCTTTGCAAGGATCTTGACAGACCACAGAGTAGGTATGGAAACCACAGGGGACAGTATCAGGGCAGGTACGGGCTCGGGGGCCAATGGGTAAACACTGGGGGTCAAAGGGTGTTCTCAAAGGTATAAAAGAATAGATGTGGGTAGAACAAGGAGGCACCACAGGCTGGCAATGAGATTGGGGTGGGCCCCTGGGAGTGCTGCAGATGCCACAGGGGGGTACTATGGGATGGTTATGACACTGAGCAGGGCCTGTGGAGTGATTGAGGGAATCAGAGACTGGGCAGTGATGGGGGGTGGAGGGAAGCACAGAATATACATGGGTACTGCAAGGGAATCTTATGAGGGGCCCACGGGGGCCGCTCTGAGCATAACTACTTGGAAAGACAGGATCACAAGGAAGGCGGAGGGGAAGGGAAGTGGGAAGAATGGTTTTGAGGATTCTAGGGACCACAGTGGGTAAGGGAGGCCCTGGAGGAAGTTCTTTGGGGCAGGAATTTGAAGGAGTTGTAATGGATGGCTCCATACAAGAAGGACCAGAAAGGCCAGGGGGGCAGGAGGGAGGTGGAGAAGAGGGGCTGGCCTTACAGGGCTTGGGCTGGCAAGGAAAGGTGTGGTGGGGAGTATTAATTAGGGAGTGACCCTTGTGGGGAGTACATGACTCTCTTAACTCCGAAGATTTAGGGGACTTCACTTGGGGGCAAACTGGGGTGGGCAGAGAGGGTGACTGGGGTAAAGATATAAACAGGTTGCCCAGGGTTGAAGGGAAGGAGAGGGCAGAATAAGGACAGTGGGGAATAGATGGTTCCTGGGGACAGGGGGGGCAAGAAATTGTGGAGCCTGGAGTTAGGAAGAAGTAAGAGTTCCCACCAGCCTCCCAGGACAAAAGGGACTCAAAGCAAGGCTTTTCAGGAGCCTGGGACTGGCGTGAGCAAGGAGAACCAGTACTACTCCCAGGGGGCAGTCGGATGGCACAGTGAGGACTTCCAGGGGCAGGTATGTAGGAATCTGAGGAAAGATGAGAGTAATGATAAGTGCTCTCCTGAGGTAAGCTGGGAGAGCCAGACATGCCTGCCTGCAAAGGGAGGCCACAATTTTTCTCAAGGGGCAGGTCAAGCTGTGGTTTAGGTTCACGAGAGTCTGCAGGCTTAAGACAGCCACAGTTGTCAGTAGGTGGAGAACATGTTGTGGAAAGAGGAGGGTCATTATAACTTCTCCCTGAGGACCAGTCAGAGATCAGAGGTGACATCATCATCTCAGTTTCCACAACTTTGTGAGATAGGGCTGGGGAGACTATAGGTCTAGTTTCCACTGGCCGGTGAGAAAGGGGAGGTGACACTGTGAGGCATGTTCCCAGGGTCCTATGGGTAGGAGGCGGCGAAATCACAGGGCAAGTTCCCTGGGACTTTTGAGTGAGGGGAGGTGAAACCACGGAGCCAGTTTCTAAGTGTATGTGAGTGAGCTGAGGGGAGGTCACCGAGCTGGTTCCTGGGGGCTGATGAGTGAGGGTAGGGGAAGTCACCGGGCTGGTTACCAAAACTGAAGGGTATCCATTACAGTAACAGACGTAAGTATGCTGGTCAACGTAAGGGCGCCGAGGACAGGGGCGCGGGATTCTTGGGGGACTGATCCAGCTGCAATAAGGGCTCCGCTGACGGAGAGATGGTGACCCTAGAAGGCTAGACCGGTCAAAATAAGGACTCGGAGGGGCGGAACCTGAGAGGTTGGGCCCATGGCAGTAGACCCTTTCAAGGAGTTGGGGAGAAGAGGGTTCAAAACAACATCTCACTGGGCGTATGGTAGGTTGGGGGGGTGGAGATGGGGGAGGTGGGGGCGGAGAGGGCATTGGTTGGGGTAGGCAGGGAGGTGTGCCAGTTATGGAAGAAATTCCAGGGCTACCAGTGAGGCAAGAGAAAGGATTTCTGGAGAAGTGGGGAGTGTCCGGGGAGTAAGAGGAGTCGTTGCACCTTTTGCCTGCGTTTGGGGAAAGGCCGGCAGTATGGTCGCTGTAACCTTTTCTGGGCGCCAGAGGCAGCTGGAGGGTGAGGAAGGGGCTGAATCCTTTCCTGCAGGGCGTCGGAGAAGGAGGGAAGGGGTGGTCTCTATGTTTTCCGAGGGGTGAGGACCGCCAGGAGGGAAGTTCAATGAGGAAAGGAGGAGAAGAGGGCATAGGATGGGGGGAAATGGTTGGGGGAAATGGGGGTAAGGGGGGAAGGGAAGGAAGTGTAAGGGGTAGTGGGGACCCAAGCTAAGCACAGCAGGGAAACAATAGGCGGTGACGTAACTAAAAGAATGAGGACGAGGACGGAGGTGTGACATAACTTAGAGGGGCGGAGTCAGGAGGCTACAGACGTAACAAGTGGAAGACACTAAGACTTGTGACGAAATAAAAGGGCGGGCAGAGGCGGTGACGTAACAGACGGGAGAGGGAGGAGACTAATGACGCTCCCTGAATGGCGTAGGGAAGACGCCTAGGGGGTCTAGAGAAGTGGGAGTAACGAACGTAACCGAAGGGGAGGGGAAATAGAAGGGCTGGAGAAATTACCAGAGAGGCGGCGGTCAGACACTGCAGTTACTGTTCCCTCTGCGCCCCGAGTCAGATCTTACCCATTTCTTCTTATGTCGATGTCTCCGCGGGACCGTCGCGAAGTCCACATGCTTCAGCACCTTACGGACACCTCTTAGTATCGGCGCGGCCATGTCAGCGTGCGCCGCTAGGTAATTCCGACTGGAACCGCAGGGGGAGATCCGAGGGTTCCGGGGAGGTGGTGAGCGCCACCCTGGAGGACAAGAGCGGGTAGAGGGGAGTGAATTATAACGAGACACTCTTCCAGGGCTCCGCCCACCGCTATATGGCACCACCACCCCACCCCCCCACCCCACCCCACCTCCCGCCTGCAATCCCTTGAGGGTGCTGGAGAAAGAGCAACCTGGCTCCCGGAATGCTCTGAAAAGTGACAGGTGTTCTGAAGAGGTCCCTAACCCAGTTAGGGATCAGAGATCAGAGAGGACAATGAGCTAATGGTTGAGTACTGAAAGAGTTATCTAGGCAAAAAGGGACGGAAAGGGCCTTCTAGGCAGAAATTGCACAGAGAAAGATGCTGAGGTAGAGGGAAAAGAGACCAGACTTAGGCAGGAGTGGATTTGCAGTGAAGATAATGAAGCTTAAGTTTTAGGACCTGTCATTTGCACGACCCCTTTCAAGGCCTTGTACCTAATTTTGTTATTGCTTTTCTTTTTTTTTTTTTTGAGACAGAGTCTCGCTTTGTTGCCCAGGCTAGAGTGAGTGCCGTGGCGTCTCACAGCAACCTCAAACTCCTGGGCTCGAGTGATCCTGCTGCCTCAGCCTCCCGAGTAGCTGGGACTACAGGCCCGCGCCACCCATGCGCGGCTAATATATATATATATATATATATATATACTATACTATATGTATGTATGTATGTATGTATTTGATATAAATAATATATATATTATATATATATTAGTTGGTCAATTAATTTCTTTCCATTTTTTTATATATATACATTTATATAATCTGAGGACTTTATATATATATTTGTATATAGAGAGAAATTATATATAGAGAAATTTATATATATAGAGAGAGAAATTATATTTAGAAAGAAATTCCATATATATATATACAGAGAGAGAGAGAGAGAGAGAGAGAGAGAGAGAGAGAAATGGATATTACCATGAGGATGTGAGTATGATTCTGAGGACTTTATTTACTTTGTAGGCTACTGGACTCTGTGGAGATCAGTGAAGAAAGATCGCCCAAATGAGAATAAGCGGTATATATGGTGAGCTTGCTTGCCGTGTGTGTGCACCTGTGTGTAAATAAATAGATAGACATTCATTTCTTCTCAAGAGAGTCAGTGTCACCACTGCCACCGCCATCACCACCGACGGCGCTTTCTCCATTTTTTATAGTAGAGACGAGGTCTCGCTCAGGCTGGTTTTGAACTCCTGACCTTGAGCAATCCGCCCGCCTCGGCCTCCCAGAGTGCTAGGATTACAAGCGTGAGCCACCACACCCAGCCTGTTATTACTTTTCTTAAAGAGAGCCTTCTAAATTGTGTACTCTTTAGGCCCACAACACTTGACTCCACCATTAGGGATCCAGTAGAGAGGAAGGACATGATCAGGTAAGTATTTTTAAAATGATCATCTGACAGTCGATAATCTGAGTAGGCAGGAACAAGGAGATCAGATGAGAGATTAGTGTTATGGCAATGAGAATGGAGAAAAAAGGAGGGATTCTACTTCTATTTAAGAGATAGAATGACAGGACTGATTGGCCCTATCCAGAATAGTATATACTACACCACCAACAGCTGTCTTCTTATCCTGATTTTATTCTTATAATTCATTACCACCTGATATATATTATTTTATAGTCTGCTAAATTATAATTTCAGAGAGGTTAAAAACATTACTCTCATGTAAATATAAAATGAACATATGCCAAAGATTTTATTCATCATCATAAACTGCTCATTCATTATTATCCTAAATAATGAGGGAACTAGTAAGATGGTAAGACTTGTTCAAGTGATAATTTAAGTTTCAGGAATTTAGATAATCAGCCAAAGGAATGTTGAAATGAATTTGCTCATAATTGCAAAAACATTAATATTGTACTAAATAATAAGCTAATGTTTGAGATTATCTTTTCCAGCAGATGGAAATCAATTCTGTCTTTACTGGACAAAATTCATTTATATTACTATGGATAGGAATCATTTGCATTGCTTTGAGTCAAGAATTATTTGCATTGCCAACAGTTTTTATAAATTAATCTCTATCCCTACAAAGGTGTAAAATAGCCTATTCAACAAAAAGTCAATCAAAAGGCTGGGTGCGGTGGCTCACGCCTGTAATCCTAGCACTCTGGGAGGCCGAGGAGGGTGGATCACTCAAGGTGAGGAGTTCAAAACCAGCCTGAGCAACTAGCCTGACCCCGTCTCTACTAAAACTAGGAAGAAATTAATTGGCCAACTAATATATTATATATATATATATATTATATATATATTATATATATATATAAAATTAGCCGGGCATGGTGGCGCATGCCTGTAGTCCCAGCTATTTGGGAGGCTGAGGCAGTAGGATTGCTTGAGCCCAGCACCATGGTATTCACTCTAGCCGGGCCAAAAAGTGAGACTCTGTCTCAAAAATAAAATAAAGTAAAATAAAATTATGTAGAAAAAAATTAGCCGGGCATGGTAGCACATGCCTGTAGACCCAGCTACTTGGGAGGCTGAGGCAAGAGGATCACTTGAGCCCAGGAGTTTGAGGTTGGTGTGAGCTAGGCTGATACCACGGCACTCGACCCCAGGCAACAGAGTGAGATTCTGTCTCAAAAAAAAAAAGTCAATCAAAGGTGTATCACAACACTACAATGAAAGAACACCCAATAAGTAATCTTGTGCCCACTTACAAGTTCTGGACAATTTTATGTCTCCCCTCACTAGAATTTAAGGTTTCAAAGAGCAAGATTTTTATTTAATTCATGGAGGAACTAGCACCTAGAACTATATTTGGTACATAGTTGGCTCTCAGCTAATATTTATTGAATGAAAGATGAGAAAATAGAAATGTGAGTATAAACAGTTTTTTCAAGTTTTTTTTACAGGGACCTAGAAGTTGTAAGGTAGAGGGGAATATGTGTGTAGAGAAAGACTTTCTTTCTTTTTTATTTTTTTTAAGCTCATAGACTTTTTTTTTTTTTTGAGACAGAGTCTGGTTCTGTTGCCTGAGCTAGAGTGCCATGGCATCAGCCTAGCTCACAGCAACCTCCAATTCCTGGGCTCAAGTAATCCTTCTGCCTCAGCCTCCCAAGTAGTTGGGACTATAGGCATGTGCCACCATGCCCGGCTAATTTTTTCTATATATTTTATTTTTTTTTTTTTTGGTTTTTTTTGAGACAGTCTCACTTTGTTACCCAGGCTAGAGTGAGTGCCGTGGTGTCACCTAGCTCCAGCAACCTCAAACTCCTGGGCTCAAGCAATCCTGCTGCCTCAGCCTCCTGAGTAGCTGGGACTGCAGGCATGCACCACCATGCCCGTCTTTTTTTTATATATATATATTAGTTGGCCAATTAATTTCTTTCTATTTATAGTAGAGACGGGGTCTCACTCTTGCTCAGAGTGGTTTCAAACTCCTGACCTTGAGCAATCGGCCCACCTCGGCCTCCCAGAGTGCTAGGATTACAGGTGTGAGCCACCGTGCCCCGGCCAAGCTCATAGACATTTAAATCCAGATGCGGATGCACTGAAGAGAGATTGAATACACTAGAGAGGAGATATCGCAAACACACCTGTTACAAAGGCTTATACTGAATGTAGGAGCCACAACCTAGCTGTGAAGGGCTCTTTCCCGGCCCAGCCTTAGTTTATCCATCTATAAAATGGGAGAGCAAGAGAGGCGGATTGGACTAGATCAGTGGTTTTTAAACTTTTTGGTATCAAGCCCCTTTACACTCTTAAAAATTATTTGAGAACTCAAAAAAGCTTTTGTTTATCTGTTTGTCATCTATTAATATTTCCTGGATTAGAAATTAAAATGAAAAAAATTTTAAATATTCATTAAAATAGTAATAATAAACCATAACATGTTAACAGAAATATCATTATGAAAAATAATTTTATTTCCAAAAAGAAATTTAGAGAATGGCATTGTTTTATAGATCTCTTGCAAATTGATGTGTGGCTTAATAGAAGACAGGTAAATTCTCATATCTGCTTTCTCACTCAGTCTGTTGCAATAGGTGGTTCTAGGTGAAGTAGATGAAGAAAATTCAGCCTCAGATATATAATTGGAAAAGAGAGGAGTATTTTAAGAATCTTCACATATAACTATGAATATTCTTTGATACTACACTAAAATTTGACAAGTGTAGTTGCCTTAAAGTTAGTGGCAGTATGGAATCTGAAACCACATTAAGAACTTTTTATACTCTGTTACATTAAAATCCTTTGATCTGTGCTGAACTTCAAGTGACTCTTTTGTCCATGCATGAGTTCATAACATTATACAGTTATCTGGCAATTATTTGTTCACTGAGTTATACAGATCTTCTATTAATAGATGTTTCATATTCACTATACAATATCAAAAAATCACATTTGTTAATATCACTACTCATCACGAAAGTCTTTTAATTTTAAGAAGCTTTCAAGCTCACAATGGTGAGTACAAGTTTTTCAGAATTCTAATTTTTGCTTAAAAGCTTGAATTTTCTCATTGGCAACAAATACTATCAATTATTTTCCTTAAAGTGGTAGGCTCACTTTGTTCATTTTTCAAAAAAATGCTAATATATTAAAATACAATTGATTTTTCTCTATTGATCTTATACCCTGAGACCTTGCTAAATTCAATTATTACTTTTGGTAAATATTTTTGGAAATATCCTCCATTTTCTATGCATATGGTTATATCTTTTATAAATAAAGACACTTTTCTTTCTTTTCCGTCTGTCCGTGGTTTGTTTTTGTTGTTGTTTTGGGGGTTTTTTTGCTTTGCTTTATTCCACTGGCTAAGACTTCCAGTACACTGTTGTTTTCAAGTGGTAGCAGTGGACATCCTTGCCTTGTTCTCATTCTTTTTTTTTTTTTTTTTTTTTGAGACAGAGTCTCGCTTTCTTGCCTAGGCTAGAGTGAGTGCCGTGGTGTCAGCCTAGCTCACAGCAACCTCAAACTCCTGGGCTCAAGCGATCCTCCTGCCCCAGCCTCCCAAGTAGCTGGGACTACAGGCATGAGCCACCATGCCCGGCTGATTTTTATATTATAT